CACACACACACACACACACACTCACACACACTCACACTCACACTCACACTCACACTCACACTTACCTGGAGGAGAAACCACAAGACGGATGGAGGAGATTATGGTTTCTGTAACAGCTCTCTTCCTCCTGTTTCTTCCTCCCTGAATGACTCTACACAGATATGTTCCATTATCATTTATCTTCACATCTTTCAGAATCACAGACACGTCTCCATCCTTCCTCTGTCTGTCCTGCAGATCCACCCGGTTCCTGAAGGATGGATGCTGGGCCTCTGAATCAGTCTGACCATCTCTGAACAAAAGAACATAATCTGGATCCAGATCAGGTCTGCTCCACTCCACAACTCTGATCTCTGTCTCCTCTCCAGTTTTACATGTCAGAGTGACGTTCTCTCCAGCTTCAGCTGTGATTGTCTGTTCTGCAGAGAGGAAACAACACAGAGCAGAGAGGTTAAAGAGCTCAGAGTGGAGCTCTGCACCTCCACAGCAGAACCAGAGGAGGACACACCAGAGAACGGATGATTAAAGGGTCAATCCTCCCTGAGAGGCTTCCAGCTACTGAAATTAAGTCAATCATAGAAAATTGAACACAAAGAGGTCCTCCAGTCCTTTTTGTTACCAATTTTTACAAAACTCTCCAGTTCAACTTTGCATGGAAACTATCCGGAAAGTTTCCGGAAGTTAACCGGATCGGTCCCTTTGACCGTCTGCTGTCAGAGTCTCTCCCACATCAACAGAAGCTATATTTATGTTTTTCCCCAAACGTTAGTCAGGTTTTGTGTTCTGTTGTCGTCCTAACAGCTCTGATACAGTTTAATTTAATTTCCAACACACTCACCTGGAGGAGTTACGTCCAGATGGATGGAGGAGATTAACTGTGGCACAGAGTCACTCCGTGTTTGGACTACACACTGATATATTCCTGTATCATGTATCTTCACGTTCTTCAGAATCAGAGACGCGTCTCCATCCTTCATCTGTCTGTCCTGCAGATCCACCCGCTTCCTGAAGGATGGATGCTGGTAGTCTGACTCAAAGCGACCATCTCTGTAGTAAAGAACACCATTTGGATCCAGACCAGCTCTGCTCCACTCCACAGCTATGATGCTTGTCTTCTCTCCAGTTTTAAATGTCAGAGTGACGTCCTGTCCAGTTTTAGCTGTGATTCTCTGTTCTGCAGAGAAGAAACAACACAGAGCAGAGAGGTTAAAGAGCTCAGAGTGGAACCAGAGGAGGACACAGCAGAGAACTACTCCTCCCATATTATCAAGTTCTATTATGTTGTGTTATCACAGCAATGTGTGACATTTTTCTCTACCGGATATTAGACTGCAACAGAACAGGATAGAACAATCCTGAGAGACTCCCGAGTAAAAGACCATGAAAACACAAAAAACAAGCACTAAAAATAAGTAAAAATAATTAAAAGAAAGAACTTTTTAGTAATAGGCATTACTGCTTTCACATCTAGCATCATTAATAACTGAAAACAAATCGTTTGCATTCTGAAAATAATCTAAACATTATATAATTAATTAATGATAATATAATCAATACTAATATTCTTTGGTGCACTTTTTTGTCCTCTCCTCTAATCCAACAATTCAAAGGAGCATTAAAATGCATTTTAGACGAAACAGAAGCAAAGTCGGAACTTTGTGGCGCACAGCCAA